CACACCGCTTCAGACCTGGAACCGTGGCTCTGAGGGAGATCAGGAAGTACCAGAAGAGCACTGAGCTTTTGATCCGAAAGCTTCCGTTCCAGAGGCTGGTGAGAGAGATTGCTCAGGATTTCAAGACTGATTTGAGTTGAGGTTCCAAAGCAGTGCGGTTGCGGCGCTCCAGGAGGCAGCTGAGGCGTACCTTGTGGGGCTCTTTGAGGACACTAATCTCTGTGCTATTCATGCCAAGAGAGTCACCATCATGCCTAAAGATATCCAGCTCGCTAGAAGGATTAGGGGAGAGAGAGCTTAAATTCCCAATTGTGCATTAGATATATATACTTTCCTTTTTATTTTCACAAATTATGCTTGGACTCTATTATTGCTATGATCTATAGATGGTTGTGAATGTGAGCTGAAAGTTTGAATTTACGGAGAAATACATTCTGAAACATACAGCACATAATTAGGAGCATTTATTACTAAAATAAGTTAGGCGATTACATGATGATGAGAAAGATGGACACATTTACTGTGCTAAGGCCACAGCTTCTTTGTCTTAACAAGGATTCCTGGTCTATAGGTTGAAATAAAAATGTCGACAAGGACTGGAGCTTGCATCCGCATAGCAAGAGTGACAGGAGGAGCAGCTATCAGAATTATTGGAAGAATTACTGACCAACGGCCTTGTAATATAATTAAAAGAGCAGAAGAAAATGTTACCATCATTGTTGCTATAGAGATGAAGAGTGTTGAAAGGCCCAAAATCAACTGCTTAGGTAAGTACGCGAGAAAATCTTCCTCGGCATAACGTGACGTGAGGATTCCCAGAAACATGAACACTGAGATGGATGCAGCGAAGAGGGAAATCGCATCTGATATCAAGAATACCATAAACAATTTTTTACCCAATAAAATGGGAAATCCAGTTTCCTGATTGTTACCACCAGGAACAGTAAAAAGTGCAGCAAACATGATGGTAATGATGAGAGAGCCAACAACACTAGAAGAACTCGCTGTATCTTTCATCCATTCCTCCCCTTGTTTTGCCAATTCCTTGTGGCTCTTCGTAAATACATCACTAGGAGTTTCACCATCTTTATTTCTAGATTTTTTACACCACTCTGGAACAATGCTTTGAATCTCCTACATTACGTTCATTTTATCATATTAATGTTAAATAATTAAACATAAGCTGATAATATGATTTAACTAAAATATAGATATGAAGTGAGAGAGAGGAGTGACCTTGAACCACTGTAGTTCTCTTTGCATTTGAAGGGCTGCTCCACAAATGCGAGCTAATTGAAAGTCAGGGGCTAACATCCCTGCTACATGTAAGCAATTATTATCGTGATTATCAGTATGATTCAAAAGGTGCTTCCATGCAGCAACGCTACAAAAGAAGCTGA